GCGGAAGGTCGAAGAAAAGTTGGCACTCGAAGGACAACCTTCACACACTTTACAGTACTACAGAGAAGGTCTTTGGCTGTCAACGCAATTCGCGCGCTACCAGATCTGTACGGTGAGCTGAGTGCGCCAGGCTTGCCGCACTGACGAACGTGTCTAGTTGTTGGCCTGAGCCTTTCCAATTTCCGGAGGCTCTGCACGCTTGTCTGAAGAGGCCGGCCGTCCATAAAGGCTTTTGTCGAAGCACAGAGTATTGGAAAGGTTTGACACTGAATCAGAAAAAGCCAATTGATCAGGTCGGGTATTACTAGTCCGGGGCAACGAAAACGTGCAACGTCAAGATGCAACCTGGTTCCTTGCCACCAACCTACTTTTGCAAGTTAACCACTGGTCGTGAGCGTTTTCGGTTCGTAGTGACAAACTTCGCGCCTCCTCGATCGATACTTTCGCGTCCTTCGAGAGCACCTTCGACTGCGTGACGCAGGACAATTTCTGCATTTATGTCGCTCGTTCGGAAGGATCAGTACGACTATATCTTACCAAAAGCTGTGAAAGTAGAGCCTTTTTAAGATGGTGATTCCACACCCTGCTTGTTAGGCTTCGCAAGATCTAGATCCGGCCGTGCATGAAAGCGCAAAACGTTTGGCCCGCTCGTCGACGCCCAGAGTTGAAACTTGTTGATGCCCCTGGCCTCCCTTTTTGATCAATGTCAAAGGTGGGCTTGCTCCCTCTGAACGCGATCATGGTCCAGCGCTTTCCACGTATTGTTAGCGCTGTTTTCCATCTCTTACAAACGCAGACCCTATTTCTTTCAAGTGAGCTTCCGTTGTGGCCGGCACTAGTACTCTGTCGGCCGCGGGTTGTCGTCCTCATCGGCGGCGTGTTGGGGTCTCCTTTGCGGAGTGCCCGCTTTCCGTCACAAACTTCTTACTTACTCCGGGCTTAGCCGGGGTCTTGGACGGCTTTCCAGATGTCATCTGCACGCAGAAATCATCAATCTTGTTCAACGTCCAAAGTTCAGCCCAGGGATGAACGTCCTACGCGGACGCGACGCTGAGGCCTGCATTTGATCATCCTTGCGAGGCGGACCGGTGTCTCGAGTCGTTCTCTGCCCTCAATTTTCAGAAGACCGTTACAAGACGGGCTCCGAGCTTGTTTTATCGCTTGCAGTGTGTACTAGGTCCTGGCTATGACAAATTGGAAGTGGGAACGTTTCCAGAGGCTGTTCGCAACATGATCGGAGCCGAGCAACGATATGCCCGTTCACCCTAGTCGACTTTGTCCATCAAGTAACCGTTTCTTTCCTGAACAAATTGATTTCAGAGGATCGAAGCGGACGTCAGCTCGAACTGCGCGCGCGCGCTCTTAAGCTTCTCACCAGCGTCTATGCCAACTTGAAGCGGTCCGTTTTCACTGATGTATTTGAAGTCAACTGATTTGCACTTGCAATAGCGAGAGCTCGTGTTTTTTCCATGTTGGCAGACCACGGAAACTGAACGAAGCGACTAAGCTGCGGCAGTGGCTTGAGTGCTCTTTCAAATTCTGGGCTGCAGCAAAGGCCCTTGTGATCAAAGCCCTCGAATCTCTTGGTTACGGAGAAGATCTGCGTTGCAACGATCTCCATTAGTGCGCGCTGCGTAATCTCGTCTGTGTGCGCCCCCGGACTTGCCGCACTGATGCGACGAGCGTGCAGTCTAGCTCTTTTGCTTCGCTCAAATTTGAAACCCTCGTTTGGTCAGTTGTCTTATCAATCCATGTTCCAATATTATTACCCAATCCGCATGTCCTTAACAAAGCACACTACTTACCTCTCAAACATTTCTTTGCCAAGTCACAACAAGCGCCAGATGAATTTCGGTTCAGCTTCGACACATTCCGCCAATCTATGCACTGAAGTAGTTGCTGCTTTATGGCGTACGTCAGTCAGCGCCCGCACATAGTTGAGCTGAGTGGCGATGAAAGGGTTCAGTCGTCACCTCAGACTGGGCGACTGACAGGGTGTGGTTTTCTACCATCTCGAAGCCACCGTAACGTTGTAATCGTCATCAAAGGTCGAGAGGCTGCGGCGCGGACGAACGAAACGTATATGGCAAAAGACAATCTCTTCCTTTGCGAACATGAACTGAAGAGTCCTTGCGCTTGAACAATGTCGACGGATCCAAGTTGTCACCGCAGAAGCGATTGCTTATTGAGCGGATTGTTTGACCACCACCAGTGGAAAGAAGGTGCTAGCTTTTTGGTGATCAATTGTCTCCGCTAGGTAAGAGTCTCGCGAGCTCGGGTTTGCGTGACGACAACCAAGCCGAATTTGGCGAAATATCAGCCCGATTCAACGTTCACTACAAAAGGACGGCCGGGGGTTCGAGACTGACTTACGAATCTAAGTACTCTAACCCTCAGCATTTGGTATGGCTGTCAAAGAACGCCTTCAACAAGTTGAGCAAATCGCATATCCGTACCATATCGGGCTTCAACAAGTTGCAATCCTGTCATGGTCATGGCGGCCTGATCAGATGCACTGGGCTCCGCAGCGCTCCTCACTAGCTCCCGCAGTTGGCGTGTTGATTGAACAGAAGATCTCAAGTTCGCTCGATGCCTTTGCCTTGGTGGATGCTTCCGAGTCAACGTGACGTTCTCAATTAAAGCAACGGTCCCCATCAGGATGTGGGTCATTCAATTTTGAACACGCGATAAGGTTCAAACTGCGTGTCATATTAAGAGCAACTTTTCATGAAGTTCCGGGGAATAGCGTTTATTTCCTCTCAATGCTCAATCGTACTTGATCTGCATGATTGAGAAGGACTTCATCCGTGACCTCATTGAAGTACTTTGGTGTTTAGCCCCGACGAATGCGTAATGTCTAATCGGTACAGCGCGACTTTTTAACTGCCAGCTTTCACCACTTTCTGCCGACGTTTGCCTTGTGCCTGGGGGCTTTTGGCATCAAGCGGTCCCAACACGGGCACGGCCTGATCGAAAAGGATGTACGAGATACGGTCTGAATGGTCCGGACTATCTTCCTGGCTTGCAATGACTTTAGGACGACGCTTGCGGTCTGACCAAGCCTGCATGGTCAATGCCCAATATCTTGCCTGCATGACAATCATCGGACGCCTCAGACATGCGGTTTATTTTGACGGAAGCGCTGCATCTTTTGACTGACGTCTGATTTGAAATTAGTGAAGTAAAGCTTACCTACTTCCGACTCGGCCGGCGACCAAACAAATCTTTAACAAACTTCGAATTGTTCAAAATTCTCAGCACAGGTTGTCCTTAGAATCACGCCCTGTTTCTACCCCGTTTCTACATAGAAGATCATTTATCGTCGAGACTCGAAACAGCCGCTTTCGATGCCGTGCGCTCAGGCAAATTTAATGCATTCACTGAGCGACAGAATCTCTCGACGGATCGTACCTCACGTCAACAGTATCGAACTGAATTTACGGCCAATTGAAGAGGCCGTCGCAATGACATCTCGGAGTCTTCACACTAAAAGCGACAATACTACTGCAATCAAGCCTATCAGGTCGCCGCAGACGTCTTAAACGGAGGCAAGGAGGAAAACAGAGACGTCGAAATGTTGCGCACTGCTCAGACGTGCCAGACCATACACTAGGTACTGATCTGTACACTAACCAACTGAAACTTTTTGTCTATTTTCCCGGTTGCAAACGCCGGCTCCGGGGTTAGCCTGTCAAATCCAACCGGACATTTCAAAGCCATTCCTACTTTCCCGGGTGTGCCCCGGTAGGTAAGCTCGGTACCGGTACTTAGGAGAAAATCCTAGACGGTGTCCCAGCTTCAAATTCAGGCTCACCATCACTCTCGACACTGCCCCGCTTCAGGTGCGGTATGCCAGTCCGCAGACTCCATCTGATGAGCTGCGTATGGCCAGATTGTACATCACAAAAACAAACGGTTCCGGGCCCAGCCGCCCGGCCATCTTGAACAAATTGTGAGTTATAACTTATAACTTATACCCGTACTTATACCCGTACTGCCATTGGGACTTCGCCTACAGATAATTGTTTTGAGCCCCAGCAAAAAGTCTTGGAAATTAGTCGGTGCCCGGTACAAAAAGTTGAGACGAATAAACGAAAATTTTCAGTCCAAAAACGCCGTTTTTAGCGGGTAAAAAATTCCAACAACGAAAACGAAAATACTTTCGTTTGCCCGGGGTGAACATGCATAATCGATTATTCGCGACCTCTGGGGGCGAATGTGGGCGAATACCTTAGGCAGTACGGTAAGAGGCAAAGTTCAGTACCTATCACATCGTAGATTTAACGGTAGGCTCTTGGTGCGCGTCCCCAGGTGACTGTACTTCGTGTACCCACTGCACTGGTAGTAAAAGTAACTACCGGTCCTCAGGCTCAGCCAATCATTCACAGTGTCACCTACCGGGATGGTAGGTGAAGTTTGAACGATTCTCTCACGAGTCACGAGTCACAATCCGTGTGATGTGTACCAGTAACCAGCCTGGCAGCTGTTGTGTGAACATAGGTACGCGTTTGGCTTCAGGTGGCAGGGGCCGCAGGGGGCGGCAGGGCTGCACTGTGCAGGCCCGGCCCAGGGCCCATTGCAGCTGGTCAAGTGCATCATGGCTCTCGCGAAAGTGTTAACATTTCTTAGAGGCAGTAAAGGCAGCTTGTAGAAGAAGTTCAGTCCTCATGTGACTGTTCAACGAGCACTGCACAGTGCAGCCGTTAGCCCTAGTCCATACATCATTGTGAGCGTCAGCATTGCCCCCACTCCCAATTTTCATGCAGAGACAGCAACGCATAACAGGCTGTCGCAATAATTGTTGGAACACCACATCGTTCAATGGGCACAGGTTTTCAATCTATTGAAAAGGAGCTGGAATCGTCTGAAAGGGCCTCACAATCTTACGGACTTCCTTCCATTCAAAGAGGACTCAGACATTCATCTCTCTAAAACTTGACCTCGAATGCACAATCTCCGCCCGTGTGTCTCTCTGACTTGAGCTAAGCGCCAGGGCAACAATGGACTCCAAGCATGGGGAAGGCGCATACGGTGTTGACCATATGACGCGGTGCAAGCAGGGTTTTGCGGAGCACATTACTGGGCTCGTTCACACTCCCAGTCGCCTCCACGAACGTTTCTTTGCTCGGAGGACCATTGAGAGCCAGCTGTCAAGCGATAAGGCGGAGTCAGGGGCGGAGATGGTCCGTAAGCTATGGTGGCTGGACATGGTGAGCTTTCGCTAACATAAGATAAGCTGTGTTGGTGTTTTGTGCTGTTTGGAAGGAATCACAGTTTCTCATTGAGTTGAGGATATAGAACATGCCATCTATGCAAGGGTGCAATGCATTATGCGCTTTGATCGGAGGTTGGGGGGACGGACCCTTCTTGAAATCAGCCAAGGATGCATAGGCATTAAGAATTGAAGTCCCTCTAAACCCACCATGATGCATCGAACATGAGCATACAGGCATGTGGGTGTTACACCGTATGAATTCATTCTGCAGAGACTGATCACCAAGGGTTGGGCTGACCCAATGATACAGTATCAGCAATTGAAAACTGGCCAGTGTCGCTTCAAGGCGGCAGCTCTTCTAGATATCCACCTCTGAGGCTCCTTTTGATGGCTCTAGAGCTTCACAGTCTACTTTGACCTCTATGCATTATTGACACTCAATGATCATAGTTGCTTTTCTCTTTTCTTCAACTCTGACTGGTTCTTGGTCCAGAGCTTAGCGGTCCAGCTGAACTTGTTGTGACAGGGGAATGTGCATGGGACAGACTCAGAAGAGCCTCTGCTCAAGTTGCGATTCACTATCTGCTATGATAGGTTTTCCGGCCACAAATACCAAGATCCTCTTTGCTGGTTCTAAGTGTGCTTCTGGAGCCTGGGGCTTGCATTAGGGAGGTGGCGAAAAACGTCAATCATCAAGGCGTCTAAAGACTACCAGTCTTGAGACGTCTAAAGCCTGCGGTTCTCGCCTAATGGCCAGCTATCAACAATCTGACACTAAACTTCGCATAAGAACATGGGCTGAGCCTGACTCCTCTTTGCCTTTCTGCAGATCATCTTTGGAGTGGGCAGCATGGTGGGCGCCGGCGTGTTTGTCATCACGGGGGTGGCGGCCAACGAGCTTTCAGGACCCAGTGTCATCCTTTCCTACATTGTGTCAGGTAGGTCAAGCTTGACGCCGTCAAACACTCGGACTCGTTGAATCCTGTGACTGGGAATGAAGTCATGGTTGCGGGAAATGATGAGAAGGTTTATTAATGCTGGCGTGTAACAGATTCGTCACATCTCTTTCACTCCCCATGCCTCTGTCGAGAGTCGATGTTCTCTTTTGGCTATTGGTTACGCAGCAGCCTTTAGGCAATCCCCATGTACCAACTTTGAAGCCTTACCTGGTTTCTTTTACTCTGAACCACTTTCCATTGAACCGCTTTTTCACCGTTATTCTCACTCTGCGTCTCCCTTCCACAAGGAACCAGTCACACTTCTTTCGACGGCCCAATCTTTTATTGCCGCTCTAGTCGTCAATTTTCACCAACTCATCCATGAAACATAACCTGACATGACTTCTTCTGTGCTGACCCACTTCACATGTCTCGCTGCCCCTGATCTTTAGGAAGGTCCATCCCAAGGATTTTCAAACCCTGAATCTGGCTTAGAGCGGTGCACTAGCAAAGTAAAGAGCGGTCGAGCTAACCTTCTTAAACCCCACCAACGAGGGCCCGCCCGTTCTTTTTGCCACCCCAGTTCGCTTCCCAAAATGGGCTTCAATCCCACCCGCCACTTGCCCCCCTCCCCTGACGGCCCAAGTTTCACCCCCTCCTTTCAGGTATCTCGGCCCTGCTGTCAGCCTTCTGCTACACAGAGTTTGCCGTGCAGCTCCCCGTAGGGGGGGCCGCCTTCGCTTACGTGGCGCTGACGTTTGGCGAGTTCCCTGCTTACCTCACCGCGGCAATGCTGCTCATGGAGTACGTTTTGTCGCGCGGTCGTTTACGTCATACCTCGCGGCGTTATGCAACCAGGACAGTGGGAAGTTCCTGATTCACACGCCGGATTACGACCTTGATTTCATAGCAGTGGCGGTTATGGGGCTGCTCCGGTCCAGCCTGCTTTTTCACAGCGTTTGAGACTTGCTCCTCTTGAAAAACTTTCTGGTCGCCACGCTTCGAACTCCCAGGTTGCAGTCGTTCCATGCAATAGCTTGAGTTTCTCAACATTTAAAACCGGCATTGATCTCAACCTTCCTTGGGCTTTCCAGAAGCTCAATGATTGATTAGAGTAGTACAATCGATGGTGAAGCCGCTGTCACTCGTTGAGCGACTCCGAATCCTCTACGTCAAGCCATTTAAGTTTCCTCCTCGTTCTTCACGGTTAAACAAAGGCGCAGGCCGACGTCTGGATAAAATGTTTTCTTATAAACCTGCTCAAAGATCGTGCGTCTGCTGCCACTGCTCTTTAACACAAATGGATCGAATCCGAGCAGCATCGGAGGAGCATATATCTTACCTTCTTCTTGTGAGCGCATCTGCCCGTTTGGGACGTCACTTCTTTTGGGTCAGCACGTGCTTGAAAGAGACGTTGCCTTCTAGACTATTCTCTTGATATATATAGATATGAAGGGGCTGTGATGTGCTCCGTAACAGGCTGAGCTTGAAGTGCCCACCATTGGCAGTCAGGTTCGCTTCGCACTGACGCTATCGTAGCTGTCGCTGCTTTTAAACGTCACAAGTATATAGCAACTCCCTCAATTTTCTGCCACGGCAGAACCTGCGATCTTCACGTTTGAACTACTAAGTCTACAAGCAAGACGTCTCATTGTTCCGGATTTCTTACTAGTCTTAGCAAGGGTCACCCTTGTGTGAATTTTGCATCTCCCTTGCTCGATCAATGGTCTGCAGTACAAGACCCTCGAGGATTACCCACAGCCTCAAAAACTATTGATGTGGCTCCGGTCTTTATCGATTGAGGAATTAAAGTGGAGTCTGCCTATGCCCTTCTTCTACTAGATACAGTCTCCGTTTCCTTTTCGCTTTTGAAATCTTGGTTTCTACATCTACTAAGAGACCGAATTGACTACAGAGAGCTCGAACTCAGAAGTACTGAGGCGCGTTCGTACACTTCCGAGCATTCGAAATAGCAGGTCGAATTCCAAGATCTGCGAGTCACATTGGAAGCTAGTTCAAGAATGCTGAAACGCAAGCCAACCAGATCTCAGAGCGTTCGCTCAAAGCTTTCTGTCAAAGAAATCAGGCTTTCCTTGATTGTATTATGAACTGAAGTTCCTCTTGGTCTGATGGGCACGGCATTGACGTCCTTTGAACGTGATCCAAGTTCTCGCTCAGTTGTCTGAAAGAGAGGCACCCCGCGGCCGGCCGGGCCCCCCAAGCAGAGCAGAGCGACCGTCGATCTGACGGTGATAAAAGATCATGTTGTTTCTAGCCGTTTTTATGCCTCCATCATTTGTTTCAAATCGCCCTGCAGTTTTTCGTTTTGACAAGAATTGGATTCGCGATCCCCTCGTACTTATGCTGATCGTGAGGACTTTAAGTGGATTAGCCAGACAGAGCGACCAACTTTGAACGGCTGTAAGTTGCTTTATGATTACGCAATGCTGGCGAATCGCGGGACCATCTTCAGAGGTGCTGGACTGATGGACTCTCATACCACGTTGTACGTAGGACGAGGACTTGCAATTCGGCCTTCTGAAATGATTGCAGATACCTTGCTCAACCTGAACGTATTTTGTCCTTGTGTGAGTTGAGCTTGGCAACCCTGCTTCGTAACGGGTCGAAGGCTGTGATGAGAAGCTTTTTCCATTGCTAGGCAATGATGAAGTCTTACGATCCTCATGAAGCCGCCTATTCTCAAGAATCCCAAGCGTTCTACCTTCTAATGATGGTCTTTTGTGGATTCGCCTCATCTTAGTGCGTATAATAATCTACGTAACACCTTCTAATGATGGTCTTTTGTAGATTCGCCTCATCTTACTGCGTAATAATCTCGTAACACGCCAAGCATGACCCGGAATGCAATTGTATTTATTCTCGACGGCTTTGGCCGTTAGCTGAATCAGTGGAAGCACGTGAGCACTAGCGCGCACAAGAGCTCGTTTCGCACTGCCTCGACTGATGATCCTCCAGCCCTGATGAAGTGGAACCGCGTTTAGGACAGTGTAATATAAATCCTGGACGAACGGGGCCACAGGAAGATTCAGCAAAAGCTTCTGGCGAGGGCGGCCGCGATCACCGCGCAGTGGCCGCGCGGCGGAAGTGGCGCGACAGCGCGAGCGCGTAGCGGCGGCGCTTCGCAGTTGTGGCGCACGCTACCGTCTGAAGCAGTCGTTCTCAACGTACATAGAAAGGCGCGGCGGCCAGCGGCCACGGCCATGGCCTGGGCCTGGGGTACCGTCGGCGGACAGCGTAGCGGCCGCAAAGACTGCTGCAACCGCGGTCGTGGGCAGGGCGGTCGCAGCGGCGGCGGCGGCGCGGCGGCGGTAGGGGCCGCAGGCGCGGCGAGGCGCAGCGCCCAAAAACCGCATTGTGCACCTGGTTTCCAGGTGCGAATGCGTTCTGCCCCTTCAGAAGGTTCAGGCTACTTCATGGTCGGTACGTCAATACGGCTGAAGTGCAGAAGTGGGTGCATGTTCCTTCGATTTTCTACCACTAGTGGAGCGCGCTACCTCTCGAACGTTAGCTGCTCGTGATAGCTGACATCACCATGCGGTACCAGAACTTTTAAGGATGATAAGAGTTCATTTACGAACGTTTGTGTTGGGCCTCAAAGCTCAGCAAATCCTGAAATCCCTGGACTTTGAGGGGCCTTGTCCGGATCGAGTTTCTTCCGGCAACGGACGTCGGAGCCGTCGGAACTCCTCAGAACCGATGACTTTGGGTGGACCCAAAGTCATTTCCGCGAGTCTGTGTGTTACTCGCTATCACGAGTCGGCGCTCTTGATAGGCACCGCATTCAAGCAGCAAAAGAGGGAGCGACTACAGTAATAAACATAATAAGCTGACCTTCGATCGCTTGAACACTCATCATTCCGGATCTCGGAATCGATATGAACCGAGCCCTCATGACCAAGTGAAAAGACCGCTGCCAGCTAGCGTCCATTTTACAATCCTTAAAGCAAGAGAAGCTCTGCCGCATATCTTCGAAGCAGAAATTCTATTCTGCCACTTGTTGTCGAGGATGCTGGCTCTCTTAGCCCACTGCTCCGTAAGGTGAAGAATGGGCTAGGTCAATCTGGGAAGCCGGAACTTTTAGCTTTTCGCATTGAGAACTACGATTGCCTGAAGTTCTCTGCATTGGAAGCCTTTATTGTGTCGAACCACTGGCTTGCTGTCTGCCTGGCGATGAGCTGGGGCTTCTAAGATACTGCGAGCGCCACGTCAAGTGGCCGCTCAAGTGAACGATCCCTTCTTGAAGCCAGGATCTCAAACGGAATCATCCCTCTATATTTGGGCGGCGCCGTATAAGAGAAAGTTGGAGGATGCAATTGATCATGATCGATATGACTGAGTTTCTCTGCAAATATTGGCACCAACTCCGACCGTTGGACTCCCACCAAATTTCGATCCTTGGGAAAGATCAAACAATACTCCCATTTGTCAGCGGACCCTATCTTTCCTATCCACTCTAAATTTTCTGTGCTTGATCCTGCTTGGCTGTTGTTTGAAGTTTCTAGAAATTGGACAGGATTTTGCGGTCATGCAAAAGCGGTCAGCTGAGACTTCAATGAGTTGCATGCGAATATGAAACTCATTTGACAGATTCCTCGGCTTTTTGAACCACCTAGTCTTGTATCGCGGTTGATAAAAGCCGGTTCATGTGGCACAAGGACCTCAAGCCAGGTGGATACTACCATGCGAACGGTTTCTGCGCTAGTTCTGCATTTAGAACTTATGGAAGCTCTGGATCTGGCCTGTGCTGGCAAGACGTTCGACACTGCGTTCATCAGGGCTGATGGCTCTGATGGGCACTGACAATCGAGCACGGTCGAGCACGGTCGAGTGCTTGAAAGTCGCAATCACCTCCCTGAGCCGGGAAGCCAGACTGAAGCCGGATAGCAACGAAAATTTTGGTGGCCCAGCAGAAGTTGAGAGGAAATCCAATCCGCCCAAAAGAACTTGCTGAACTCGATGAAGACAATCTTCTCAAGCCGGCGAGCTTCGCATTGAGCGGATTTGATGGCCATTTGATGGCCAAATGTGTCTGATTCATAGGGCGCTTTGGCTTAAGGTTCCTGTGTGTGACAGACAACTTGGGGCTTACAGGAGGGTACGAGCGTTTCCAAGGGCCAAGGCTTAAACTCAGAACAGTACCCTGATTCACATAGAACAAGTTCTGAATCACCGCGCTTGATTCCAAGTCGATTTGTATCGATATGTTGCAGTAAAAGGCATCCATTGATCGATGATTACAGTTGCTTAGACTAGTCCCAGCGGTTGTCCTTTCAAGCAGGTGGTCGAATGGAGCCGGCCGATGATGGATTCCGACTACAGATGAGCATCAACGCTAATGGCGCTAGCTCATTTGCGCCCATCCACAGCAGTACTTCTGAAGGCCGGCTTCTGTGATTGGCAGTCTTGAAAGCACTTTACGGTGACCTGATGAAGCCCGTTTCTGTAGTACTAGTACTGCATCACCACTGCAAAATGTTGACTCTGCGTCTTCAAATCCCCTTTTGCAGTGCTCTTCAAATCACGCCTTTTGTGCTCGAGACAAATTATATTGGTCAAGCAAGTCAGCGCTTGAAACGAAGTGAACGGCACCACTACTTTTATGGTCGCGTATTTGGGTACAAGTTGGTTCTTCTAGCTTGTGACATGTCTCTTGAAACGCGTTCGCACATGAACCGTGCGTTTTCCTTCTGAGGATGCAGAACCCTACTGAAATGGATTGGAAATGAGAGCACGTGGGGTACACGCGTTACCCGAATGACTACAACCACGACTGGAAGTAGGCCTTGATTCGAAGGGGTACGGCTTCGATCCCTGAAGTGCAGGGGAGTAACCAAGGCCGTTGTGCCGTGTGACGCC